GGGGGGGGGCAGAGGGGGGGGGGGGGGGGGGGAAGCTGGGCTGGTCCCAAAGCACTGTGGGGGAGAGGGGGGAGCAGGATCGGACCTGAAGTTGGGGGGGGGACAAGGTCAGATCCAAAGCACCAGGAGGGGGGTGGGGTAGAGCGGGGCCAGATGAGGAGCAGCCCCCTCCCCCATCATTCTTGATGGGCAATTTGCTAGTCAAGATATAAAATTCAATAATTCATCAAGAGTATCACTAATACCAAGAAGGCAGGGTAGAGATGTACCTTAATATCAAATGCAACACACAGTTGTTTGAATAGAAAAAATGTATCATACGGATTTCACTAGCATCTTCTTGGTAATATTTAATAAAACATCCTTACTGATTAACTCTTGTTCCACATGCAGAACTGTTTGATCAACAAAAATGACTACTTCAGGACACATACATACTACTGGCACATCTATAATGCAACCACTTCAATTTTAAACATAATGCATTTATGTGCATCTTGAAGCACTGGGTACATTTTTCTTATGTAATTATATATACAACATCCTGCAAAGTGTCAATATAAAAATAACTAATTCAAAACTGAGCTTTCTCCATAATAATATGCGGGTAATATCTGTACCTTCTTTTGAGCAACAGCAGCCCGATGAAGTTTCTCTTTCACTTGGTTATACTTCTCTTCTCTTTCTGTGATGCGCTGAATTAATTTATGCTTCTCCTCCAACCATTCTATGCGTTTGTCTTCTAAACTCCTTAAAGAAGATAAATGAAAACCAGAGCAGTGTTCAGGAATCAATAATGGATAAGATGTCAACAACTGGGATTCTTGGAACGGATACTGTACGTTTCACCCTCCTCACTCTATCTTAGGCCATGTATTGCAAATATCCTATTTAAATTTCAATTGTGCTTGGAGTTCAATGAATACAGAATTTACAATGCATAGATTAATCATCGATTTAGTACAATGTGTACAAACTGAACCAAACAAACTAGTCAGATACATGCAGTCTGCTTTGGAATAGCATGTTGATCATTCATAAGTAACATGCACAAAATGCATTTCTGCCTTCACCCAGGGAAGCTAAGTTAAACTGCAATGAAAGTGAGCAGAGCAGTGCCAAAATCAAAATCAGCAGTTACAAGGGCTATCCTGCTTTTGCAAGACCACAATATGGCGGGCTGCTGTAATGCAGTCTTCTCTTGCGAATCGCGTAAAAGTGCAATGGGATCTAACACACAATCCACATTGCACCTCCTGCCATTCCACAAGTGCTTCACACACCCCCACAGCTGACAGACCGCATCAGCTGTGGTCTACCAGCTGTCTGGATGTGTGGGGTGCCCCCACAGCTGGGAGCCCTGTCAGCTGAGAACTAGGATCAGTTCCAACCCACAGGGGCTGGGAACTAGGATCAGCTAGGAGCTCCCAGGTTCGGGGGGTGCACATGGTCCCCCAGCTGGAAGCTCCTATCAGCGCGCACAGGCTCCCTGGCTGCACATTCAGTTAATGGCATGATAGGAAGCAGCTACAAAGTTATTACACATATTTTGTGGAATAACTGTAGCTTATTTCTCTTTTTATCACACCATGAATTGACTGAACATGAGGCTGGGTGACCACTTAAGGCATAATTAACTGGTTAATCATCACACCTCAAGTGTAACATGTAGATGAGGCCAGAGTAGAATACAGTCTACAGCACTGGTCAGAGAATATACCAGGCTGCCCCGCGGGCACTGGATGCACAAAACAATACCCCAGCTGAGCAAACATCAAAACACTACTTGCATGTATGCAGTCATTTGCATGTTTGAAAGCACTGTAAAGGCATAAAAACTAGATCAAATTACCCACCCAGCCCACAAAGCATATTCTCCTCAACTCTATACCTATGGGTACTACAACCCAGAATGCAGGTAGCCCACCTGAGGGGCACCTTATGTCCCTATATGGACATGCACAGCAAGTCACAATCCTGTGCTGATTAATACCAACTAATCTACATCAAGGTGACCAGAGGATTAATCTAGTGATGAGGAACCAGAAAGGTTAAGTGGCCCAAGGTTACTAGCTACAGTGCAAAAATCAAAATATATTCAGTTTTATACATTGCGGTTCTCATCTCTTAACACAACAGTAGATCTCATTTCTGTAGATGTACCAGCTGTGGTACAGTTATTGCTACATCAAAGGCGTCCAAATAGTTGATGCAGCCTCAGGACTGACTTACTCACTCACTGACCAGCTGCAGATCTAAGTTACCTTCTTGTACAAAATCAAAGGGTGAGAGTCCAAGCTGCACTTCTAGGAGATATGGCATTGAGCTCATGGTACCCTACGTGGGGATGTGCTAAGGCAACCTTTAATTTATTTACCTCCATACTATCCCAATCCTGGACTACAATCACACAGCCAGCTGCACTGGTGCCCCTTTGCATTGTCTCACTGGGTACAACTCTACAGCTGTCAAACTTCAGATTTTTATCTACAGTGCAATTCCACCTTGCTCACTTCTGGACCAGGAACCCTTTTAGATCCCCCTGGGGAATCAACATGACTATTTCAAATAAGCCCAGGTGCCTGCTGTTGACTTCTCTGTAAGAAGCAGAGATTCTGAACAGTATGGTTTAACATTAAACAGAAGTTACCTATATGTCTGAATGCTGTAGCACACCACAAAGAAGGCTCAATCATATGCTGCTTAGTGTTTTAGCTGGTCTTGTTTGGAGAAGCCTGCCTGTGGCTCCTACCTTCTCCCCACACCTGGCTCTGAGATTGACAGAATGCTGACCCACTTTCTTGCTCCTTTTCCTTGAGTCTTTGTTCCCTGGCTTAGTTTGAGAAGAGAGAGGTGGTTAGCCATGTTTTCCTCAACAGAGGCTCTGGATTCTTATCCATTACCTGCATTAGCTTTCATAAATCTTACATCATATCAGTGGGTTTGCTTTGTTTATCCTCTTTGATCTCCTCAACCCACCTTTGCTCCTCTCAGCACTGCTCCCTCCTTTCCTCTCCCTTTCCCTATCCCTATCCCTATCGTATAATTATTGTATGCTATAAGGAGCTGGAGCAGGGATTCCTACACATACAATACAACCCCCAAACCATAGCCATTTAAAACAGAGACTGACTCAGACCACCCCCAACTACTCCTGGAAAATGACAACCACCAAAGTAACCACGGAGGACAAGCTTGTCCTGGCTTAGGTAGCACCCCTACCTCAAACAGTCCAGCAACGGGCTACTTAATTCCTATGTTCACCAAGGCACCAGGCCTTACAATGGATCCAGATGCCTGCTTGTGTCTCTTCATCAACACAGACCATATCACTACCAGACCAAACAAAATCCATGGTTCATTCACCTGCTCCTCTAACAAAACCTAACATCATCATTTACCCAGTATCTCTCTGTCATCTATACTGGACAGATCCTTATGTGCCAGAACAAATGGATATTGATCTGAAGTCAAGTCCAGAAATACACAAAAATCTGTGGAAAAACACTTCAAACTCTCTGGACATTCTGGGCATTTACACACATACATTTGTCTGCTCAGACACGCTGGAGATCTGGTGCGTCAGAGCAGACTCAATTAACTGAGTCTCCTCTGTATTCAAGTTGATGTGCCTGGCGCTGAGTTGCATGCATTTGTATAAATGGCGAAATGCACATCAGCGCTGAGAAAATGACAGTGGTGAGCTTTTGAACTAAAACACCTTTGATGTGTTTTATTTCAAAAGCGCGCTGTCACCATTTTCTCAGTGCTGACGCACGTTTCGGCGCTTATACAAATGCATGTGCCGCAGCGCTAGGCGCCTTTAAAAATGCCTAGCACTGCAGCACAAACATGTACAAATGCCCTCTGTCACTGACCTCAGAACAGCTGTTCTTAAACTGGCAAATTTAAAAAATAGACTTGAATGTGAAATTGTAGAACAAGAAATGATCCAGAGACTAGATTTTTAAGTATGGTCTAAACTGGGACTACAGAATCTTCTCATTACCTGGATTAGCTTTTATGTCCCCATTGGTTTATTGCTTCCTTGTTCTCCCCAACTCCTTCTGCCTTTTTCAGCACTACCCCATCTCTCTCCTTCCCCCCTTCCCTGTCTTCTGTATTTATGTCACTCCTATTTGATAGCCTCTACATGTCCTTTCATAGCATCTGACAAAGCGAGTTGTTGCTCATGAAAGCTTATACATCTGATTCAGTTAGTCTATAAGGTGCACCTCTACCTTGCCTTCTGCCTGACATCAGACTAACACAGCAAACTCTTTCTCTATCTCTACTGTATTTAAATTACTTTATTCCTATCAATTTAGTACCCCTGTTCTCTGCCAGTCCATTCATAGCATCTTAAAAGGTAGGCTAGCCTATGAAAGCTCTATCTCTCTGAACCAGTTAGTCTATAAGGTGCCATTCTGCGCTGCCTTCTGCCTGGATTTGTAAAGAGAAACTTATTCTAACCCAGATGAGTCATACAGGCAGTTCCCTGACACCTCACAATTGATGGCCCGCTTTCTGAAAATAAAACTCCTGAGAAGTTGTTTACTGCAGGCATCTTATCTCTTGGTCCCAGTTTCACTTCCTGTCAAGGCAACTCCCACCTCTAGTACAACTTAACCCTCTGAGTACAAGTAGGTAGCATTATTAAATTGAACAGGGAAAGCAATTGTTTTAAAAAAGACACACCTGAACTTCCCAGATTGCTTCAGAGACAAGAGGTGCCAGTATAAATTAAGCAGACCTAGTAGCTGTAGCAACTGACAGTCTTATAGACTTCAAAGCCTCCTAGGATCCACCCTACTGAGGCCATGATGTACCCTACCTGCTGCTTAGTGCCACGTTTTTCAAGGGGGCTTCAAGCTACTTTCAACAGTGCCTGAAGCAAGAGAATCTCCATTGGATAGATGGAGTTTTTACAGGCCTTTCACAACCCTAAAAGGGTGCCAATCCTTATCCAAGATATTACATTCCCCTCTCCACCTAAATAAAGCATTCAAAAGAGATTAAACTATTTAACACACAGGTAACAACTGAAATTTATTTGTAGCCTACCAGGTTTTAGAACTTGTGCTAAGTTAAAGAGCAGCATTTGAAAAGTATGTCAGTAAAGCAGAAATTGTTAAGACAATAACTTTTGCTCAGCAAAAGTAAATCTAGGGCCAATAATATGATACCACACCTGCTACAATCTCTCTCATTTCCTCAAGATATATACTTTGTTTTAAAAAAAGAAATGCAAGTATTGAAGTTACCTGTTTGTTAATAATTTGGTATTTTTCAGCAAGGTATTAAAACATCTTTAAAATGTAACAGCCTTAAGTTGGGAAAAATCTTTGGTAGCAAGTTTGCCCTGGATAACAATTTTCACTGTACATATACTAGCTGCTCCTAATAAGTAGAAGAATGAAAAAAAATCAACTGAAAGAGATCAAAATTATTTAAAACAATCAATTTTCAATCTGAAGTAAACCCTGATATACTTTTTTCGGTATATCCTACCTACCACATGGAATGTGTAACACACTGAAAGAGACTGGAAAAGGGTTTCAATAATCATACCAAAATTAGAAACAAGCCATTTCTTTTGCCTGTATGCACTGCGAACCCTGGTACTACAAAAATGCACTGTAGGTTTAAGACTGGACAAAATAGCGCATCTAAGATGCACTATTATCTGTGATGCTTGGAAAGAAATACTGTAAAAAATATATCTAAATATAAAGAAAAAATCTGTTCTGACACAAAAAGTAAATGCATACTTCTCTGCTTCTTGCTGAGCCTTTTCTGCTTGACTTCTTGCATTTCGATATTCTTGTTTTAGTCTCTCCAACACTTCTTTAAGTTTTTCATTGGAATCCAGCAAGTCACTTTCTGATTGAGAAAGTGAGGCCACCTGGAGCTGCAAATCATGAATTTGCTACAAAAGAAATAAGTTTTCATTTGAGGAAATACATGGAATTAACAACTGCTTCGGGACACTGGCATGAAGTAGGAGGCAGCTGGCTTGATAATTCTGCTAATTTGGCTCACTATTATATCTTTGTAAATCTCCTCTGTTCTCTCTTTTTTTTCCCTCCCAAGCCTCTCTCTGGAAAAAAAAAGTTTTACAGTAAATTCTCTCTAGATAAGGAAGACTACTTCCTCTGAGGTTACAACTGAAATGGAGAGAAAAGTATAAAGTGGAAGTCATTCTTTGGTATCCCTTTTTTGGACCTAGAACAGAGACACTGAAAAGAGTCTGCAATGCTTCTTTTATAGAACAGGCATGTCATTTATCAAAAAACGCACAGGGGGCAGATTATGGTTCAGCTTTGTTCATCTGTGAAGGGCCTTTTACAAATGAGTAAGACTCCCCCTCCTCCTTCCAGGTCTCCTCCATATCTCAGCTGCAAGTACAAAAGAATATGTGAATAGTTTTCTTAAAGGCAAACACAGCCGACGTGTCTACACAAGATACTACTACACAGTCATTACTGTACTTAATATGTATGGTATTTAATATGTGCATTAGCAAGTACTAAATACATGCACAGTAACCAGAATTACTGAATATTAGCACCAGTGAATGGCTTTTAACTGATGCCACTGCACAGTAGCTTAATAATTCTATGCAGTAGCATATTAGCATTATCCGTCCTATGATGCGCTACTGTGCAGTATTTTTCAGCTACTGCGCAGTTGGAATCTTGTGTAGATGCATCCACTGAATAAAAAAAGTGAAAAATATGAATTTGTCTTGAGTAAAAGTATCACAGTGTAACTAAACTTCATCCTGCTTTATTGAAGAAGACACATTTGTTAAGTGCATCTTCCCTGTGTAACTCCATCTGGGTTACCTTAGCTGAATCAGCAACTAGTAAATTTACTTGAGTCAAGATTTAGATTTTATTTCCAGTACTACTACCAATTCATTGTGCTATGCAGGCAACCTATTCATCTCTATAATGCATTTCTTAAGCTTTTAAGAACATCAGATAAAAGATGAAGCATAAATGTGAAGTATTATTTAGAAGGACTTTATAAGTCTACAGAATTCTGACTTCCAGTTTAACAATATATAAACAGTATTCATTAAAGCAAAGAACTACAATATAAACAATCTAACCTTTGAAATCCTTTGTGTATGTAGTGAAATATGCCTTTGAAGCAAAGGACTGTGATAAATCAGTTTATAAAAGGCAGATGTTTGTTGTATGTGTACATCTTTTCTTTTTACCATCTATAACAGATTCTGGCCTTAATTTCCCTAGAGCACTGTAAAAATGTAAATGAAGTTTAAAATGAAGAGCTTTTGTTTGAAGAAGTGACAACCCTTTATTGTAAAACATCACAGTACAATACAAACTCTTACCTGTTTAAGATCAGCATTTTCGCTTTTCTCTTTTTCTAACCCTTCTGTCTGAATAATTTGCTGTTGAAGTTTTAACCTAAAATTTAATATAGTACACTTTTGTCTAATTAAAATGTAACTGTTCAATCTGTTAGTAGTTGAAACAAATCAGTCTGCTTAAAACTTTTGAAAGGCTGATTAATTTTTCAAACAAAGGTCCTTTATCATCAATAATAAAAGAAGAAATCCTGTTTGTACTTCATGATTAGTACTGCACTGTTGTCAGAGGCATCATGAATTCCACTATTTGCCTGATTACTAATGCCTTCAACTTAACAATGGAACCCGGCATCCAGGTGGAAGGGTATGATAAATTCACTGGGAACTTTGACAGCTCCCAAGCTAAGATAGTGGGACACCAGGAACTAAGAGTGGGAGAACTCAGATTATGGCTCTTGACTTGCCACCTGGAGCTTAATTACAGGAACAGAGGACAGTTTCTGCTATTGTGGGACTAATTCAGCAGGAAATCAATTTTAAATTAGTTCTGTAAAATGATTTTACACTATGTTTACTGAAAAATGAGGGATATTTTGATTAAAGTTCTGCAATCCTGACACTTCTGTTATATGATTTAACTATAAAGTTTTTTTCCTTGCCTTTTTCCTACAACAGCAATCAGACATTTTTTATTAATTTACTGGGACAAACCCCCTATCAGCAGGATATTTTTTACTGAATATTTAAGGTGCTACTTAAAAAACCCTAACAAACCCCCCCCAACAAAAACAATTTGTTAGAAAAAAATCTCATTACCTAACATTCTGAAGTTCTCTTCTGCTGGACTCTTCAGCCACCTGCACAACATGTAGCTTCTCTTCATACTGACCCTTTTCAGACTGCCACCAAGCATCTTGTTCCACTTTATTCTTCTCTAGCTCAGCTAATCTGTTCTCAAGTTCTAACCTGCAACAAGTTTAAGTATTTACTTAAGAGCTGTGACAAAACAACACTGGAAATGTGCGACAGTTTAATTTAACATTTAATAACAACTTTTGCAAACCATGCCCTCCCCTACCCCTTTTAGAAAATGAGCAACAAATGAACAAACATACTTTTCATCTTGCAGTGCTGCAAGTTTTTGAAAGCCTTCTTCTCTGGCAGCTTGCACTTTACGAATTAGCTCACGATCCTTTTCTACTAAAAGCACTTTGTGGCGTTCAACTGTCGTCTTCAGAATCTCATTGTCTGAATGCAGTCCTGTTTTTACATTAAGAAGTTTTACATTGCAATATTCACATAAAAATAATCAAATCAGTTAATATAGTTATTTTACAAGCTGATAAAATTGAACTATCAATCCACAGTTCAGGTCTCACATTGCAGCAATTCCCTCCACCCCCGCCCCAACTCCCCATGGTCTTTATTGCAACAAACAAAAATACTTCAGATACCATTTTAAAAACACCCCATTAGGACTCTTTGTAATGGTTTTTAAAATATAGAACAAAACAGGCAAAGTGTTGTTTTTACAGTATCAGTAAAATGCCCTTGGATGAAACTTTGACTGCAGATGAAAAAGGGATAAGCAAACAAACAGATTATAATTAGAAAATACAAAGTGAAGTCAATAACAAACGGACAATGAATTAGTAATGACAGCTTAGTGATATAGTTAGAGAATAGCCTCTGTTTTAAACCACTCTCATAAGGTAGAACAAGTATGGGGGGAGAAGTGTCAATAATATCTAAAATTCACCACTCTAACGTATTAGATAGCCCTGAGATTGGAAGAAAACAGGGATTTGAGAAAATATTATGAATAGCATAAGTTATCAAGTCACGTGGTTTGGAATGGATTTAACACTAGAACAATGGCTAGCAATGTTTTAAAATCTGACAAGATGTAATCAGCAAGGTACAGGCACTCAGTGGCAAGTTGGCTCCATACACTGCAGCAATGACCCCTGGTTTCTTAGGCAATTCAGTGAGAGACAGGGAAATTCTACAGCAGGTTCAATAAAAAGTGGAGAAATTGGGGGTTTTATTTAATTCCCCCAACTAAAGTTATTAGCACCATTACCTATTGAATTCAGTTTTATTTTCTTGCATTGGCACACTCCACCAAGTTATCATTTCAGGCTGGTTACTGATGGAACAGTGCTCTGTTTCAAGTGTTGTTTAGTTTCGAAAGCACTGTTCTGTTTTGTTTTGTCAAAACTGTTTTAGTTTCGATGCTGTTTCGATGTTTTGCCCATAGGCTAATTCCGCACCCAGAGCCGGGAAGATCTGTACTGCCACTGGCCCCAGCCAGCAGCACCAGCCTCCTGTCATCTGGCAGGCAGATTGGGGGTCCGCACCACCAGGAGGAGTCTGGCACAGCCCCCGCAGCCCTTCTGGGGATGCAGGCAAGCCCCTGATCTACCTGCCGGATGACAGGAGGCTGGTGCTGCTGGCTGGCACGAGCGGCACCCAGGGCTGTCCCTAGGGGGGAGTGAATCAGGGCAACCGCCCCAGGCCCTGCGCTTTGGGGGCCCTGCAGAGCCAGGTGGAGTGGCTGTGGCAACTCTGCACTACTGCCACCAGCTTCGCATCTGGCTGCTCGCTACCCCCTCCACCTCCTGCCGCCAGCACTGTAGCAGCTTCTTCGCATCCAGGGCACGTGGGATTGGGGCATGGGCGTGTCCCTGCACCCTCCTCAGGTGGGCTCTGGTGAGCAAGCTGCCAGATGTGAAGCCGGCGGCGGCGCAGTCGCCACAGCCACTCCACCTGGCTCTGCAGGCCTCCCCAGAGTGTGGGGCCCAGGGAGGTCACCCCGATTCACGCCCCCAGGGACGGCCCTGGGTGCTGCTGGCCTCACCCAGCAGCACCAGCCTCCTGTCATCCAGCAGGCAGATGAGGGCCTGCACCCCTGGGAGCGGTCTGGCACACCCCCACCGCCCTCCCAGGGGTGTAGGCAAGCCCCTGATCTGCTGGCTAGATGACAGGAGGCTGGTGTTGCTGGCTGGGGCCAGCGGCAGCACTGATCTTCCTGACGCTGGGTGCGGGCTGTGCCCAGCGCCGGTCCCAGCTGGCAGCACCAGCCTCCTGTCATCCAGGAGGCAGACTGGGTGCCCACACCCCCAGGAGAAATCCAGCACAGCCTTGCAGCCCTCCTGGGGGTGCAGGCAGGCCCCTGATCTGCCTGCCGGATAACAGAAGGCTGCTGCTGCCGGCTGGGACCACAACTGAAACCAAGTAAGCCCGGCATAGAAATTCAAAATGTTTTGAAACTTTTGAAACATTCTGAGTGCCCTTGGTTCACTTCGAAGGCTTTTGTTTCATTTCAGTTTCGCTGTTCTGAGCTTGAAACATCGAAACAGCTCTGAAACAAAACACCAGGTGAAATTTTGCACAGCCCTACTGATTAAAATTTTAGGAGCAGAAAGAGAAAGAAAAAAGGTGACTATATAATATTGATAAAAAGCTGAGTAAAGGTTTATGTTTAAGAAGTGTTTTAGAGTCATTAACTGCTGTAAACAGAAGTAATGCTTTAACTTCTAGACCTGGCTGAAACCATTTCTAGCCCCTCTGACCAAACAGCAAGTCCAGATTTTCAGATGTACATGCCACAATCAAGTCAGTTTTGGGGAGGTTAATTTTCATTGCAGTGTAGTTATATTTACAGGTTACAAACAGAAGCCACTAGAAATTAACTGCACATTACCATCCATTTCACTTTGAATCCTGTTTTTCTCTCTTTCTACCTCACTTTTTGCTTTTGCTGCCTCCAGTTTCACATTTGTTACTTCTAATTTGAGTGAATGCTTAAGTTCTTCTACCTGTGGATTACAAAATAAAGCCAAATAACATATCCCAGAAGTTTCTTGGGTCTGAGTTTTTCATAAAGCACGCTGCTAAGAAAATATTTTACATAACAGTACTACTCTTATTCTAATACAGCATGCTGAATACATTCTTCTTTCTGCTGCATTTCATGAAGTAATTCCAGAATAGTCAAGGTTATCTTTAAGTTTGCTATATATTCCATATGCTAATACTAATAAGACTATAAGATATAACCCCCTATATTAGATTCTAATATGCCAGTTCTTTTTAAAGATCCTCCAGATATGAAGATAAAAAAAATTATCAGATAAATTAGCAATTATGTTGAATAAAAAAATACAACACTATATAGGCTTGAATGTCCAGATAGTGAAGATGTACTCAAAGAAGATAAGCAATCTACTAAACAGGGTGTCAAACTACTGAGATGTAGTAGCGGGTAGAACTGCGAGCAGCAGGCCGTATTCGATTCAGATTCAGTCCGTATTTGGGGGACAGTGATTCAATTCACTGATTTGGATCAATGTCCCAATTCAATTCAGTCGAATCCAAATCTGAAGATTCGATTATGATTTGGAGAATCAGCGTAGACACACCTTTATGTTTTTTCTACATACCTCAAGGTACCAGGTGTGGCTCATGAATGCTGAGATGGTGAGGCAGATGGAGCATCTCACAGGAGCACGGGGGCGGGGGCTCCCCATGCGCTCAGTGCTGGACCCTCCCCACACCCCCTCATCTTGGCAATCGGCCACAGGGGGATCCCGGGTGTCCCCCCCAGACTCAGGAGGTACCAGTTGCCAAGCCGGGGGGAGGGGTTGGGGGGAGGGGGCA